TACACTTTGCTACTTAACATGGCTCAAATAATAACACCTGTCCATCCCATTTGAGACAGAGGCGGCTATCATCAGATTACCAGTTTTTAACAGCTGACTCATTTTAACACAGACCAACTGGAGGGTACTTTGGTATTTGTTAGGAAGATCAGTTATTCAGTAATTATTAAATTCCTTCACCAAATAATAGCCTGCAGTTTAAAATCATGGATGAGAATCTTACCAAAAAGGCTGTCCTCTGTGAGTGCATACAGGACCCTGGACGCTCCAATAAGGTTATTCACTGCAGCTGAAATAGCAGTGGAGTAAACACCAATTTTTACAAGAGGCGGCCATATATTTAAGTCACTGAGGAAGCTGTATTCTCTTTGCAGGAGGCGCCTATGTATAAAGCAATATCAAATTAAATGAAACATAAAAAGACAGTTCTTATGTTGGCAAGTTGTATTGTGAAAGAAAAATAAGTTTCTACTGAATCTGGTTTGGTGCCAAAAAGTGCTCAATCTCACACAAAGAAATACACAGATAAGGCTAAGTACACACATTAATCGTTGTGTGTTTCATTAAGATAAGAGAAAGTAAAACAAGGCAGGAAACTGAGTCACCTTTAAATAAACTCAAGTTAACTACATTCGCACACAGAATTATGGAGTTAAGAGTGGGTCTAACCGGTCACAGGAGCAGGCTGCCAGTAAACTAAGCAGATTGTACGTGGTAAATGTTATCAACACAGCTGCCAGTGTTCCTCTGGGGATGGAGTAACTGGGATTTTTCAGATCACCTACATAAAACACAACAAATTATTAAAAATGCATTACTTACATGATCATTTACCAACAAAAATGAATTTTACAACATTTTATTACAAATTGTTGGAATGTTTAGTTATTTAAGTAATAGAAGTAAATGAGTGAGTGCTTACAAAACTTTGAATTTAATCTAATTCTTTAAAGTGTGTGAATGTAATTTAAAAAAAAGTCATGCACAGATATCATGTTCAATTTTATGCATTCATAAAGTGCAGGCTTTAATATAAGCCCTTTGGGGGTGTTTTTGCCTCTTTCTGAACCTACTTTCTTATCTAGTGTGCCCTTTGTATTGTTTTATGTTGTACAAGTGCAAAATAAATAAAAATAAATAAGAAAATAATCAATAATACAAATAAAAAGCACTTACAGAAATATTATATATATTTTTTGTAGACATCAATAAGTAGTTTTTTTTTTCAAGCAGGTACTTTTTTTCCAACTCCATTGTAAGATTGCTTCACTAAACCTCTTCATATTACCACACAATTTTAAGATTTTCAGTGAATGGATGCCTTAAGAATATAAAAAAACATGTGTGTATCATGAGGCCAGTAGTGTAATCAACAGTGTATCTTGCTGTAAAAAAAGACCATGTTAATATTAATAATAACACTGATAAATATATTCTTGTTTGGTTAATTTGCCATACGTACGCATCAGGTTATTTTTTAAAGTGTGCATATGAAAGCCTGTGTAGTTAATGATGATCAGACCAGAGCCATTAATGCTATGATCAGGTAGAACAATCTCTCTGGGTCCAACAATGAAAAACTTATAAAAATAGAAGCCAAAACACTTATAATAATGATGAAAATGATGAAAGTAAGTTTGGATGTAAATATGAGCTCCCACCTGAAAAGTGTAAAGAAAATTACAGATATTAAACTACTACTTGGTAAAAGACCAAAAGAACACCAGTCAAGCATTGATACTTCGCAGTGACAACATCGTGAGGGTGGTCTACATCTTTCGCTATGGCCTAATGTTCAAACGTTACCATGGAGACACAGTGCATACAATAGCACACAAAAAAGTTAGGAAAACTTTTAAGAAGAAGAAATAGATTTAAACTGTAAATTTTCAGGAGCCTGTGATCAATACTTTTATGTGTGAGAGACTTGTGTGAGAGCACAACTCATCTCATCTATTGTAGTCCAAGTCAGTTCATTCTGGTCTGATTGTGTTAAGACAAAACTCAGATTCAAATCTGATTTGAGTAACAGAGCTTTAGATAGAGTAGTACCTCCAGTTAGCACCATATCACCAGGAAATGTTTATGTTATCCGCTGCAAAGTATCAATACAATGAAACAACAAAAAGATGAAACTAAAGTGAATGAATACAGTCTCACCAGACTGACAATAAAACACAGGAATAGCAAAGCACTGCCATAAAGTAGTGTCCACCAGTAACCAGAAGGCAGGACCTGAAATGGTCTCACCACATCGATAGTACCATCTGAACAAGAAAGGAGTTAACAGATGTAGGCAATTATAACTTATGCCATTTGAAACTCATCTTACCTTCTGGTATTCCAAAGGGGGAGAGGATAGCCTCCACTAATCCCAAAATGTGCAAAGCACTTCCACAAACACTGGCAAAGAAAAACATGATTCCAATGCTGCCACCAAACTCTGGCCCAAGTGCTCGACTTATCATATCTTAAGAAAAATTAAGGAGGATTTCATTACAGACGCTTTATAAAGTCCAATATTATGGAATAGAACGCTCTGTTTTTTACAGCTTGCAAACCAAAAATAAAAGTAATAGTACAAATGTGTTTTTTTTTTCTTTTTCAAACAGGAACAAAAGGATACAGTAGGTGCCACCTGCACTCAGAGCTCCATTGATGGAGATGGCACAGACAGACAGTACAGTCATCATGATTATGAAGTATGCCACCAAAAAGACAGCAATCGACTGGTACAATCCAGCCTGGCCCACAACAAAGAATGAAAGAAAAGAATGGCCTTGAAGTAAGGGTGGGCGATACCCGTGTCTGAGCCCAGAGCTGCATTGAACTGAGGAATAGTGAATTACAATATGATGATTTCACTTAAATAACAGTCACAGGAATGAAATCACATTGCCTGGGCCATATGGTGATAGAAATTCTATCACCATATGGCCCAGGCATACCTTGAAAACATTATCCATATATGCGTTCAGAGTTAAAGCCACAGTATGTAACTTTTAGACAAAAATAAATTTATGAATGAATTAAAAAATATATATACTAAAAAAGGTATCTTTTTTTGTTTCCATTTTGGATGTGTTTTTTGCTGAAAGCTTACAAAACAGATGCCCTGACCTGTGAATGGGCTTGCATCTCCACAAATTCTCATCTAGCCTGAAGGCCTAATTAAGTTCCATGGAAATTTAGTTCCTTTCAATATCGTCTTGCGCAGTATCTTAATTCAAATGGATAATTTCAAACAAGAAATTAACATTTTCAAACAACGTATGATTGTGTGTCTTTTTTTTATTTTTATTTTTTTACTTTGACTTGACTTACCTATTCGAAGGAAAACTATGACACTAAACACTAAACATAGACAGTAAAGTGTGCACCACCACCCCAAAAAGTGTCCCTAGCTTTGGGGAGGCTTTAGCTGTGTGAGGTGGTGGGTTCTGGTTCATGACTTCTTCCTTCTGGGACTCAATGCTTCAGCCCCGGTGTGTGCTCTGTGGTGAGTTGATAATGGAGAAGAGGGGTTTTTTCTGACATCCTCTTTGCGCTTTTCGTGCGCATCTGGTTCACGTTTCTCTTCAGGGAGGCTTCGGCCTCCACAGTCCTCTGAATCGGCACCGTGACCTTCTGACTCTTTTTTTTTTTTTTTTTTTTTTTGACCTTCTGACTCTTCGCCACACTGCCGTTTGCAGGTAAGACGTCACGTTGGGAGGATCCTCGGCTTCTGAACCACTTCGGACAGATCCACGTCATCAGAGCTCCTCCAAGTGGTGCTCCAATTCCCCCAAAGCGCACACGCCCTCCGCGCTCCTCTCCTCCCTTTCACTCTTCTGCACGGTTGGATCCTTGGCCGCCTCGGAGCGCCTGAAATTGCCCACAATGCATCGCGACTTAATTTTTGATTAACTTTATTTAAGCAGCAAAATGCATTTTAATAAATAATGCATTTTATACAATTACCCTGTCATCTGAAAATGTTTCAGCCTATGCATTTATTTCTGTAGGCTAAACAACTCAATAACAGATGATTCAAGAGCTTTTATTATTCACATTTTAACGTTTTAATGCATGTTGACACATAGAAATACTTCTGGTTACTTTATATTTGTAGAAGCATTGATATTTAATAAAACTCGAGTTTTATCGCGTTTGATTTGGTCCCGTGACACGGCGCTGTCGCTCCCTCCGGAGCCTGTTCCAGGTGCGCTCGCGGGAGCTGTGAAAAGAACACATGTCTGCTTCGGAGGAGCCGACTCTGGAACAGGGCAACAAAGTGATCTTTGGAGCCTAATTGGTTGCCCAAAATTAGCCGTATCTGCCGCGGACTTGACAAGGTAGGACGATGCTTTATGCAAAGGAGATAAAAGTTTTTTTTTTTTTTTTTTTTTTGTCCACCTAAAGAGCACGAGGATCACTCCTTACTGTTCCAGAGAAACAAGTTATGCTAGCGCCCTCTACTGGCGTTTTGTAGACAAATGTTTTGCCAATTAAAGCGTTTGAATTTCCTAGACATATACACTATAATGTAACAAAAAAAAAGACAGTTTAATACTCATTCAAAACAAATAGCCTGAATGTATTGCCTACATCAGAAAAAACACAAGCCATCACACAAAAGTATTTATTTTGTCATAAAAATAGAAAGAAAATAAAAAGTTAATTTCACAACAAATGCAGAAGTATAGTAGGAAAAGGCAGTTTTATAAATACGGTGTATCCACCCTCCACATAATCAAGGTCCTCTATCTTTTCTTCTTTACTCCTTTTTCAGTATTTTTCAGTAGTGTCCAATGGATAGTGCACAGTGCATCCTTAACGCAGTGACATACACATAAAGTAAATTGCGGCAGTATGAATTTCTCTGGTCTTGTCTCTCACGGATGGACTCGAGCTCGTGATTCAGTCTCGTGCATTGAGCTGTGGCTGCTGCGCCGTCACTGGGGAGGGCATCTGTCTGACAGGTTATCCATGAAGCGCTCCAGTTTACCAGAGAGCAGCCTGTTGTATGCCAGCAGCACTGTGCCCAGGCTGCGGGTGCTTCTAGGAACACACGACAGGACTGGACTCTCCACCGCCTCCTGGTGGTTCATGACAGAAATACACACGTCACGGGAAGGTCATATAAACTGACAAGGGTATGAAATATATTATTGAGTTTGGTGGAGCATGTACTATTTAAATGTACCAAGTAAAATTGCTGCTCTAATCTCACAACCTTAGAGAATTATGTATAACAGAATTAATCCTTTTTATTCTTTGTGTGAGAGCAAGTGTCTTAACTGTGAAACTGTGCTATCATCTTCTTGTCCTGAGGAAGGAAGCTTTGGGGTCACATAGGCTTACGGGAGAACATTTACGGGAAGCCAGGATACTTTCACTGCAGAGTAGTGACTGGAAATACTGAGACATAAAAGAAAACTGTTGATTAATTTTGTTTTTTTGTTTGTTTGTTTGTTCTCATTGCCAGTAGCAAGAAATTTCAATGTATTCCATTATATGCAAAAAGTAATTAAGGCTCATTTACTCACTTTATTATCAGAAGTGTGAATGGATGATGTGTTCGTAGTTTAAAATTTGAGTTGTCTTGAGTTCTTTAAGGTTTACTTTCTCTTAGCCAGTTGTGTATCTTTATGTAGTAACTGTTAACACCTTTTGACCCACAAAGCTGTTCGGCACCAGAATGCCTTGTGTTACCATAGAAACACCTTACACTCAGATCCAGGTGTAAGAGAATGAGCAGGTAGTTGTTGATGTTGTGTTGGAGTCTTCGCAGCACAGAAGCGGCACATGCTGACTGGCTGAGAGCACTCACAGCATTCACACCTTCAGTTAGGAGCCTCAGTGAAGCCACCAGGTCCTCCCTCTTCTCCTGGAGCTGGTGGAGCATTTATATTGATACATGTAAAAGAAACGTGGCTTTAGAAATATTGTAAATGTTGTTTTGAGTTTGATGCATGTTAAAACATACTGATTTATTTCCCCAGGTTGCAACGTGAAGTGCTGTGCAGGGCAGCTGAACTGCAGTGGGGAGAGTCACAAGCTCTTCACAGAGAAGCTAGAAGTATGTTTTAACATTTCAGCGATGTTAGTAAAATACACGATGTCACAAATATATTCAAAAAAGTGCTCATCGTGCATGTAAATGAGCAGGCTGCTTCACCTTAACATAATTTACACTGTTGCTATTAACTCTTTCCACAAAGAACTCTGGATTATTCTTTTATTTGTGTAGTAATTCCAGCATTTTCTTTCTACTTGTGATTTAACTCCCATATTCGGCAAAAGTGGGTTCTGTGAGCTCGTCATGTTGGAATGTTGTTACCTCATCAAAAACATGCCTGGAGTTGTGTTTTGTTTCATTCACATATGTTTGAGTATATCTTTATTATTAGTCTGACTACATAATTGACATGGTTGTCAAAAGGACAAAGACAAGTTGCAGATTCTCCAGAGTGATGTCATGAAGCAGTAGTTTTCAAGTTAACAGTTACCTTTTACTTGTTCTTCAGTAGCAATTGGCAATTCCAGGGTTGAAATTATCCAAATGAGTTTAAAAACGCAGTGGAGCCTTGTCTTTATTACCACATGACATCACGAGGTGGAACAGCGTGTTTTCAGCTTGAGAAAAGAACTCAGTCCAAACATGCAGGTTTTGTGTCTTAAACATGTGAATGAAACAAAACACAACTCTGGGTATGTTTGTGATAAGGAAACAACATTATAACATAGATCAGTACATTGCTTAATATGAGCTCCATTTACAGAGCACATGGGAACTAAAAATGGACAAGACAAGACAAGACGTGTTGTACACAGGCTTCTATCAGGCAATCTGATGTGGTATGTGCTCTGCATTGTGGGGTCACACTAGTTCGTACTCAAATCTTTTTAACATTATGCTTTAACAGTAGTAATTAAAGTACGTTGCAAAAAGACTCCTGCTACTCAAACTCATAAAATATACCTGTCTGGTGAAGTAAAGTGTTTCAAGTAGTATTTAGGAAACAGTCTTACCAATTCACTCTCCATCTGGGAGACAATATTTAGAGCCTCCCTTACTGGCTTATTGCAGACAAAGTCTATGTACAAGGTTTGAGCATCCCATGGCCAAGAGGTTGCCACACACAGCAGTAGTAAACCTGAATTAACAAAACTTGAATGAGCGCACCTTAACAACAAATGCAATTTAGAGCTATTTCAGGTCAGAGTACTTACTGCCTACAGCCATACCCTGCTCGGGCAGTCCTGAAAAGTCCACATTTGTTCCATGAAGCACCAGATGTCCAGTGGCTGTGTGTGTGTGTCCTTTTTGTCTTCCCACCTTCTCATTCAGTAGTGGGAAGTGAGAGTGTTATCTAGCCCAAAAGCAGGATCGCTTCCAACTTCCCTTTGCAGTGTAGCATAACCAAATGTGGGACTGTAAATGGTATTTTCTCTCCAGGGGTTTTGTATAATGTTCGGATAAAAAGGTTAATGATTTATTACTGTGTAACCTTCAGATTTACACAGATGACATCAAATCCAGTCTGTGCCTCTAGAGGATATTTACTTTTCGTCAGGGTTTATGCTTACTAATAGCTGCAACAGTCTGGGTTCACTTTGTGTGCAAAATTGGTGTGAGGAAAAGGAACACAGTCCATACACAGCAAAGAGGAGTAGTTTATTCAAATAAAGGCAGTCTCTGCAGTATTCTTAACACAAAGCCTTTAGATTGTATATGTTTTTTTTCACATAATTTATCACACAGTGTCATCTACACCAATACATGTACAGAAATGTCCCAAAAACGTGTTATAAAGGAAAACAGCTTTAAGTTAGTCACATCGTCAGTTCTTTCATAATGTAGCCTATAGAATACTGGGCTTACTTTGCATCTTTATGATAAAACTTTTTGTATGCATTTTACTGTGTGGCAATAGCGTCCTTACTTGTGGCTTAGTTGACCCATGGCCTTTCTTTAACGGGAGAGTGCTTGAATACGTAGCGGTCCCCATCGCTTATATGGGCGCATCTGGAAGGCGCGGTGAGTGATTCATTCAAATGTCAAGTGGTGGTTTAAGATGTATAATATCTGTCAGAGAAACGCAAACAGAAACAAGCGAATTGGCATTCATTCTTATTTAGGACACGTGTTTACCCAGTCACCCCATCCTGCGGACGCACGGTGTCCCATCCACCTCCTGCTTATGGCCAGCTGTTTGGCTGTGCCATTATCAAGACGCATGGCTCCTAATATTAGACCTGTAGGAGCGTACACACGAGGGTTAAAAAGAGCGACCCATCAGACGCATGTTTTGTCTTTCTTTTCATCTTCTCTTTTCTCTGCAGACAATTTCAAGTGGCGTTAATTAAGACGAATGCGCGCATCCTATGCGCACAAGATGCCCGACGCGCTTTGCTTTCCTCGCACAAGGAAAGAACTGCGGGCCATGGCACCGGTGCTGGCCGCATTGCATCACGGACACGACACCCGGTACCCCGCTGACTCCCACCCACCTCAAGTGGAGCCGACGAGCAGCCTGTAGCATCTTTACTGAGTTGGTTTGCCGCACAGTCTCATTCAGTCTTTCATTACGTGCGTGGCACTGGGGGCGCATAGCTAGTAATTACGCGCCCCGTTGACAACTTTGGAGCACTGCTGTATGGATTGTCTGGGAGCCACTGAGAATATCTCCCGCTGAAGTGAAGCGCGATTCCCCTGGATTAATCGGCTGGCCGATTGCAGCGCCCATCAAGTGTGCGTTACAACCTGTAGCTGAGCTGCGAGCTCTCTTTTCTGACACAATTCAAGGCGCAATGGAGGGACACAGCTGACGGTTCTGATCCCAATCGAGGAGGAGAGAACAAGAGGAGAAAATACAGCCCTGAGGGGAACCGTAAGTATGCTCCGTCCTGACAACACGCATCAATGTCTCGTGTGTCAAATCTGCGCGTGTTTATCTAACTTTGCGCACGTCCCGCTCAAGGGCAAAGCCTAATCGAAAGGCTGATTGAGTTTTTGTGTAATTGCAAATGTCGCGTTGCTAGTTTGGTCCTTTTAGTAGTTAATGTGTTTTTGAGGTTGATGGGTGTTAGTGAAGAGGCAAAAACGAGGCACCGGTGAATAGGGACCTCCACATTGCGCAGGACTAAAGGTCTTGTACAGTGCGTATCTTGGAGCGATGAAATAAGTGTTAAGATGCCTACTGCTCTGGCCATGACTCACACATCCACACTCTATTACTTTTTTCACTTAGGGAGAAATGTGTCAAATTGTCCTCTAAAATTGGATGACCATGGAAGACAAGATTTAATCTTTCTTGAACTCCAGCTATTTTCTGTTCCTCAAGTCACTGCTAGTATAGGCTACTGTAAACATCTAAACATCACCCAAGAAGCAAAGAGTCAGTGATGCATGTTTAAGTTTTTGAAACCACACTTCAATAACGGGCTGTGCCATAAACAAACTGTGAGAATAGTGCTTTGGATCTTTTCACTTTTTATCCACCATTCATCCATCAGGTCTGAGTTGACCCCGATGACCACATGACCAGGCTTCTCTGTCTCAATTTCTCTCGTGGTTGTGCTGTAGATGCCTGCAATCTTTTATCTAATTTTCCTCACATATTGTCAGACCCTCCTCTCCCTCTTCTGCCCTCTTTTGTCCTTGCATGATGGTCTTTTCCAGGCTGTTGTCTGCTCCTCATACCAAAACAGTTTCAGTCAATTTCTCTATTTTATGTTTACAAAGATTATGGGGGTTTGAATTCATTCTGTTCAAAATAATCTATTGTCCTTGATATCTATGTTGTCTCTTTAGGGCAGAATACTTTCCACCCATTTAAATCTTCAGTCCTTTAGTTCATCTTTATTGACAGTATTCCTTTGCTTCTTGGCTTTCCCTGATTTTTTTTCTCTGTATTTTCCTAATTAGTCTACACAGTTTAAATTTAGTTTGTGTGGCCTACCACACTATTCTGATTTATGTTATAATGTTGTTATCTCATCAAAAGCATACCCAGTGTTATGTTTTGTTTCATTCACACATGTTCAACACACAAACCCTGCATATTCAGACTGAAAACACTCTGTTCCAACTTGGGAGGTCATCTGATAATACAAGAAGTGCTCCACTGTATTTTTACACTCCATACACCTTCACTAGAATCATTTGGATGATTTCAGCCCTGGAATTGCCCATTTCTATGAAAATAAAGGTAAAAGGTAACTGTTCACCTGAAAACTACCACTTCATGATGTCACAAGGTGGAACAGAGCATTTTGAGTTTTGAAGATGTAGACAGACTAATAAACCAGAATCACTATGTCTGAATGAAACAAAATATAAAGTATGTTTTTGAGGAGCTAGCAGCATTCTAACATGGCTTAAAACTCACAGTAGTAAATGTTGGGTAATATAGGACCTTTAAATCTATGCAGTAAAAAAATGGCAACATTACCGATCCCTCAAGTGTCATATGGCCATAATTGAAAAATGTACCTGGTTTAACTTGATTCATGTGGTCCAGTTTGTTGTCTTGCCAACACGCAAGCAGCTGGCATCTTGTACGGGAACAGCAGCAGTGGGTCCATGCCTCTTGCCTTTTAACCTGCATAGATTAGTATTTCATGTAATGCCAGGGTTTGAAATTGTGAATCAATTCCCAGTGTTTAGTTTATATTCCGTGTTTGTGTTTTTGCACCTGTGTTGGGGCCATATTGGCAAACAGTAGCAGGTCTGGCTCCTGAAAAATGCTCTTCTCAATAGCTGGAAGTACGTTATCTCTCAGGTGTGAGTCTCACTTGGCACTGTTCACTAGATTTCAGAAGCAGTGAGGAGCTTGTCTGAAAAGCCTGCAGACATAAGCTCAGGATTTTCATACATGTGTCATCTTTGGGGCAAGAAAACCACAGGCCTTTTTTAACTTTCAAGCTAAAACAAACTACTCAAACTTAAGGTTTGAGTAGCTGAGGTTTTTGCTTTTTTGTTAGTTTTTTTTTGCCAGTTTGCTCTCCTAAAATGTAAGCTATAACCTGGAAACTCTATTACTGTCCTGTTTGCATTTCTTATCATTTCTTTTATCAACTTACCCATGGAGAAAAGTGTATTTCCCCCATATCAAGTACACCAGTTAAAGTTGAACCTGTATACAGCTCTTTTTAGTTTTGTGTTTTTTGATGGATTGCACTGAAGGTTTACTAATATTAAATTGTAAGCCTGATTTATTAAAAGTTTCAACCAAAGAAAAAAAATCTGAAATCTGAAATTTACTTCCAATTATTGGTAAGATCTATAACTTGTGCATTTTGTTTTTACACATAAAATGCCTTATTTATTTATGTTTATATATTTTATTATTCACCTGCAGTGTCTTTCCTTAAAGGCAAGACACTGCTTATGCAAAATAGATTTTTGTGAGATTTTAGCCATGTTATTTCCTCAAAAACATACCCAAAGTTATAGTTTGTTTCATTCACACATGTTGTGTGAATCTGTTTACATCTCCAAAACTCAAAATGCTCTGTTCCAACTTGTGATGTCTTGAAGAGGAAATTTTGTATTTAACAGCTGCTTTTTACCTTCACTTCACTAGAGATTGCAATTCCAGGACTAAAATTATGCATTCCTGTATTATCACATGACATCACAAGGTTGAACAAACTGTTTTCTATCTGAGAGGAGACCTCATCCTAAATATGCAGGGTTTGTCTCTTAGACTTGTGCGAATGAAACAAAACACAACTCCAAGAATATTTTGGATGAGGAAAGAACATTATAACATATATCATAAAATTGCGTAATATGGGCCCTAATATATATTTTTTTACTTTTCAAGATAAACTGACCTCCTAGCACAGTATAGTGAGGTATGTTTATCGCATAAACAGCCTAATGATCTATTATTCAGTAGATGCCCACAAAATGTATTCCTCTGCAGCCAATGCAATGATTATTGCTGTCATCTTTATACAGTATGGTGCTGGAGGCAGGTTTCAGATTGCACTCAATGTCCAGTGTTTGGTGCATGGACTATACCCACCTAATATAAAATCATACATTTGGTTTATATATTTCACTAGTGAAATATGTTGCATTGTTGTGGTCTATCGCTTTAAAGGGCCCATATTACACTATTTTCAGATCTATGTTATAATGTTATTACCTCATCAAAACCTAGACTTGTGTTGTGTATCATTCACAGATGTTTAAACAAAAACTCTGCATATTTAGACTGTTTTTTTCTCTCTGAAAACTAAAAGCACTGTTCTACCTTGTAATGTCATGTGGTAATGCAGGAAGTGCGTCACTGTGTTCCCATACACCTTTACTAGAGTCATTTGGATAATTTCAGCCCTGGAATTTCCAATATCTACTGAACTAAATGTAAACGGTAGCTCTTAATTATCGCTTCATGACATCACAAGGTGAAAC